TTTTTTGTAGCGATCCGAACTTGGTCGGGTTATGTAGGTTTTCGATGCTTCGTCAGTTTTATAATTGTTTTTCTTTAATTACTGAATTTAATGACATGAATTTTTGCATGTGAATAGTTGAATGAATACACTAATTATTGGCATACATTTTACCATGCAATTCATTTAGAAAGTCGTGATATTTGACTGCTTTGTAAACAGTGATCTATTCATGGTAAATTTGTCCTATAACTATTTAATTACTAACGGAACATCATTGATACTTGGCAACATGTTGCAGACACTTACAAGGTTTGTATCAACGTGAAAATCTAGACCCCAAAGTGCATACTTTAAGAACTAAGACCTAATAAGCGTATTTTACGTTTATATTTTTATCTTTTAAACCCTACGATTTTTTCTAAATCTGTTTTTTAAACAAATATAAACAAATTCAAAACAACGTATGTAAAAATCTACAGCTCTCTATGTAAGCGCTTTATATGAAAACTAGCTAATGGCCAAACGTTCGCGTAGCGGAAACTTGAATTTCTCCGAAGTTTATGCATGCACTAGTTTTATTCATACATACACAATTACACACAAATACACACTAATTTTTGGATACATCTCTTTTCTTCTAAAGTCTATGGATTAAAAAAAGTTCCGCCAGGACAACGTTCGCCCAGCGGAATCAGTTTTTGGTGAATTTCTCCACAATGGTTGCGTGCACAAATTTTTTTTTACCATACACAATTATACGACGTCATACACTAAATATCTGCATAATTAAAATCTTTAAATTCAACAACATTCCGCTGCACGAACGCACGCTTTGCCGACATATAATCCCTTAAACAAAAAAAGTCACATTGATACTTGCCAGATTTGGAACCCACACCCTCATGCATGGGGATTGTGCGATCCATGGCCCTCTACGGTGCCCCTGTGTGGGCGCCGGACTTGAAGCGGCGGCCGGCTCGTACGCTGGTCGCGTCCCAGAGGGTCATGGCTATACGAGTAATCCGCGGGTATCGCACGATCTCCGGGGAGGCGGCGAACCTCCTTGCCGGATCACCGCCGTGGGATCTAGAAGCGAAGGCGCTCGCGCGCGTCTACAGTTTGCGCGCAGACGCGCGTCGCCGGGGCGAAGCTCCTCTGCCGCGCCAAATAAGTGCGTGGCGGAATGAGCTCCGGCGAGATCTCACGGCAGAGTGGAGACAACGACTGTCGCAACCGAGGGCCGGGCACGCTACCATAGCAGCGGTAAGACCCCTCTTTGAGGAGTGGCTTGAGAGACGCCACGGCGTCCTCACCTTCCGTCTGACGCAGGTGCTTACCGGGCACGGCAGCTTCGGTAGGTTCCTGTTTCGGATTCAGCGGGAGGAAACGCCCGAGTGTCGTCATTGTGAGGACCACCTAGAGGATACGGTGGAGCATACGGTAGCGGTATGCCCTGCCTGGGCTGAGCACCGCCGTATCCTCAGGGAAGTGATCGGCGGCGGCGACCTCTCGCGCCCGGCCTTAGTCGAGGCCATGGTGCGGAGTGAGAGGAACTGGGACGCCGTCTCCTCCTTTTGTGAAGCAGTCATGCTCGCAAAGAGAGAGGCGGCCCGCGTGAGGGAGCAATCCTCCTCCTCACGCCCCAGCAGCCGCAACTGGCGACACTACGGGCGTCGGGGATCGAGGGACGATCTCCGGCCACCGTAAGTACGGGCCTGCGGTCGGCGAGTAAGGGCAGCTCGCCGCCCGACCAGAACCAGGCCCGAGCGTACGGCGCGTAGCGTTCCGCGCGCGCCTCAAAGAGCCAATAGACCACCACAGACGGGGCCCTAAAGGGCTGATGTTCAGCCGGGGTTGCGGGGTAAGCGCAATAAGGTACCGCGACCTCGGCACAGAGCAGGAGAAGGAACAGGGGGGTTTTTAGTCAGTAAGAGTCTGACACTCCCTCCTGCCCGGCCCTGGGCGGGAGAAGTCATTTGATGATTTTCCCCTCACAAAAAAAAAAAAAAAAACACCCTCATGCATAAGAAGCGGCCTATTTACCTTCGGGTCATCACGACATGTAATTGTTAGCTTTATTATCTAAGAAATACAATATGAAAATTTTACTTGACAGCTAATTCGAACAATAACATAAAACTGGATTCAATTTGATAGCCTTGGATAGGTCAGAAAGCATTCAAAGAAAGCCACTACCGTGATTAGTCTTTATATTTCGTAATAGAAATAAAAATGCAAAAAAGTTATGAGGTGTAATAAATTTAATATCATTACAAAAACTTAATATAACAATTACAAATGTTATTAATAATTATATAGATAACAGTTTTTTAAAAACAATAGTATCATTGTGTATAATATAACAATAACTAGGTACAAATCATTATAATTAATTGTTTTTCAGCTTTCACACGTGAATGTCAGCCATGATAGAGGTTTTTTCGACAGAGAAATTATTTTAGACCCCCTGAATGGGGTAGGAGTGTCAGACTCTTTATCATCGAGAGACGATCTTCGGCCACCATAAGCGCGGGTTTGCGGACGGCGAGTAAGGGTAGCTCGCCGCCCGAACAAGACCCGAGCGGACGGCTAGCGTTCCGCGCGCGCCTCAAACTCAGATTATTGGCTCAGAGCCAATAGACCACCACAGACGGGGCCTTATAGGGCTGATGTTCAGCCGGGGTTGGGGGATAAGCGCAATGAGTCAGTTCGGCCCAGAGCAGGAGTAGGAACGGGGGGGGGGGTTAGTCAGTAAGAGTCTGTCACTCCCTCCCGCCCCACCATGGGCGGGACCCTTACTCATAAAAACAGACTTCATAATCAGCCGGAAGACGTCCACTACTGAACAAAGACCTCCCCTTAGTCCTCTTTTCGGATTCCATCATTTCGGATTTTTTGGCGAAAAGAGACCGTTCCATCGCGCGTTGAGCCACTCAGTCTTTTTTAGAAGGCCAGAAGTTAGCTAATTGGTTTCGTCAGACCCTTTGCTGATTAAAACTCCCCCCCCCCCCCGTTCCTTCTCCTGCTCTAGGCCGAGGGCGAAGTACCTTAAAATTTCCTTTCGGCTATGTCGATAGCTTAGACCAAAGGATAAGCAAACTGAAGTGGCAGTGGGCAGGTCACATTTGTCGAAGAACCGATGACCGTTGAGGTAAACGTGTTCTAGAGTAGAGACCGCGTCTGGGAAAAAGATACTTTTGGCTATGTGGACTACTTGGCCAAAAGGGTTAGCAAACTGAAGTGGCAGTGGGCAGGTCACATTTGTCGAAGAACCGATGACCGCTGGGGTAAACGTGTTCTAGAGTGAAGACTACGTCTAGGCAAACGTAGTGTAGGGCCCTCCAGCTAGGTGGACTGACGACATCCGCAGGGTGGCTGGCAGTGGTTGGATGAGAAGAGCTGAACATCGAGCTCAGTGGCGTGCAATTGGGGAGGCCTATGTCCAGCAGTGGACGACAACAGGCTGATGATGATGTCTCAAGAAATTCATATGATTCGAGTGTACAGTTACAAAAAATACATCAAAATTAGCTCAGTAGTTTTCGAGTTTATTAATACTTACACATACTTTTTGTAGTTGCATGATATAACTTAGCTCTAGATTTTTCACTCATTTGGACCTATTATGACTGGTTGGAGCAAGAGAGAATAGATTCTATATCAAAGGCCATACGGTCGAAAATCTCTGTACATAGATATTTGTCTAGCGAACTATATTTATATACAAATATTGCATCGATAAAGTATATTTATTACAATAAGATCGAATTGACACAAGACTAAGTATTATTGCACGATTAACAACTTTAAAAAGCAAAGGAATACAGTTCAAATTGAATTAGTGTGACATTTTAAGGATTCTGGATTTGTTACATTCTCAGCTCAGCTCGCCGCCTGACCACAACCAGACCCAAACCTATGGCGCATAGCTTTCCGCGCGCGCTAGACCACCACAGACGAGGCCCTATAGGGCTGATGTTCAGCTAAGGTTATGGGGCAAGCGTAATGAGATATCGCTCGGCCTAGAGCAGGAGAAGGAAAGAGGGAGTTTTTAGTCAGTATGAGTCTGACACTCCCTCTCGCCTCACCCTGGGCGGGAGAAGTCATTTGATAACTTTCTCCTAACAAATAAAGACCAGCATTGATTTTAGTATAATATTCGGAGTCTGCGCTGGAAGACTATGCGAGATCGGGGTACCCGTTAAATTTCAAATAGGAAAGCAAAATGGCGGCTGGTCTAGCAAGTACCGCGTTCCTAAATAAGTAATCTAATTTAATCCGAGGAATCTTTAATTGTTTTCAACGAATTATAACATAATTGTAATCTCAAATAATCGGAGAATATATTGGAAGCCTTATTTCCTTTATTTATTTTGATAAAGACATAATTATACACTTATCCGTCATATAGGGCTTAAGTGTGGGAGAGCCATGCTTCGGCACGAATGGGTCGGGTCGACTGGATTGATATCACGGCCTCATAGAAAACCGGGTTGAAACAACCACAGCGTTTTTTTTTCGCCGTTGAGTCGGGCAACCGGAGGCCCAAACCTTTCGCTCTCCCAATCCCTAATCCCTAAAAGCTCGGCAACTCACTCATAACTCCTCCGTTGCTGCGGAGTCCATAAGCGGCGTCGATTGCTTACCGGGGAATACCGAATATGGGAGAACTTGGTTAACACATTCAGTGCCCCCGACGCGTATGTGCGTTTCCTCGCACGCACATACGCGTCGGGGGCACTGAATGTGTTAACGAGCCGACGGATTACCTGATGGTAAGCAATCGGCGTTGCCTATGGACACTCGTTATACCAAAGAGGTTACAACAAGTGCGTTGCCGGCTTCTTGTACGTTATAAGGGATTAGATAGTTATTTAAGGATGGTTAGGGAAATGATTGGGCCTCCGGTAACCTCAATCACACAACATTGTAGCTGTTTCACGCCGGTATGCTGTGACGCCGTGGTATCACTCCGGTCGGGCCGATACATTCATGCCAAAGTACAACTCCCTCACACTTCTATATACAGGCGGTTTTATTTAACAACTATATACAGGCTGTACAATTTTCAACCAAAATTATTTCCATCTTGCACAGGATGTTTCGTTTTCATATGATTCCTATAATTAGTTACCTGCGTATAAGCAGAGGGGCATAAGCGACATTTGAACTTCTTTTCAGAGCTATGGGATTGCAAATGAACCTTTAAAGCTTTGGACCTAGGGTAGTTTTTCCCGCAGAACTCGCAGCGAAAATTCCTTTCACCCGTATGGGAGGTCATGTGATCCCTCAGAGCTGATGGGAGGTAAAATTTTTTGTCGCACAAACTGCATTGGTGTCTGAATAGTTGCAAATGTGTTCTTTGATTGTGTTCCCTTAAAGTTTTTCTGCTGACGAATATTTTGTCGCATCCGTCGCATGGAAATTGGCGTTTCTCTCCGTGCACGTTCATTTTGTGTCTGTATCTCATGTGATATGAGATGAAGACCTCGTCGCATTTGTTGCAAGGGTACGCCGGCTCATTCTTATGTATCCTAGCTACGTGGAAACTTCGAGAATACTTGGATCGAAACGTTTTATCGCATTCATTGCACGGATACCATTCAACTGCCTTTTTAACGTGAGAATTTTTATGAAAAACTAAATGGCGTTCTTCGAAATAATGAGCGCCGCATTCGTCACAGACAAACGTCCCAAAATGTACGGCCATATGTTTTTTTAATGCGTGAAAAAAGCCAAAGTTTTTGTCGCATTCCACGCACTTTAACGTACCGATTTTAAGCTTAAATGGCATGAACTCGTTGGAAACATCCGCGTACAATTTCAGCCCATGTCTACTAGTGATGTGTTCTTTAAAAATATCGATACTATCGATCTTTTCGTCGCAGAGTCTGCAATCAATTCTATCGATATCGATTAGTATTAGTTTTTTAATGTCTATAATAGTTTTGTACGTTTTGGGGTCGTGTGTTAGTGTGTGTTTTCGGAGTTCTGTCGGATCTAGGAACATCTCTTTGCAGTAAAAGCAATGGTAATCGCTAAAAACTGTTACGAACGGACAGACATACGAATTCTCAACTATTTTAACTATGTTTCGGAGCATATGGAGGTCTTTGTCCACTGTAGTCGGTTGCCTGTATAACGGGTAGACGGGACGAGGCTCTGAAAATAAAATTATAATTATTTTTAGTATTTAGACTTTCTTATTATCAGTTTATAAGTGTCCGCTGCTGAGCAAAGGCTTCTTGTCAGTTCTTGTCAGAGTTACCCTCTTCTCAGAGTGAGGTTACCGGAGGTCCAATTTTTTCTCTGCCCCGATCCCTCGCAATCCCTAAAAATTCCGCAACGCACTCGAAACTCCTTCGCTGTTGCGGATGTCCATGGGCGGCGCTGATTGCTTACCATCAGGTAATCCGTCAGCTCGTTTACCGACCTATACCATAAAAAAAACAATAAAAATAACTTACCGCTCTGTTGTAATTGATCAAGTTTCTTCTTCATACTTTTAAGTTCATCTAACATATCGGTTTTAGCTTTGTCGTCGGTGGCGCCATCTAGCGGTATCGGGGATAATGGCATAACTGTCTCTTCATGTACATCTTCTACTTTAATTTGTACGGACACTGAAAATTAAAACCAATATGTGTTATAACTATCTACGTTATAGCCATCATCATCATCAGCCTATAAGTGCCCACTGCTGAGCAAAGGCCTCTTCTCATACGCAGAAGGTTTGAGCATTAACCACCACGCTTGCTCGTCTTGAGTAGGATTGGCGATTTTAAACTTATACCGAGTTTACCTTCACCGTATGTCAGTGGTGTCTAAATAATCATAGAAAGTACATATAACTCGGAAAAATTACTCACGCTTTTCATGCATGAGGGTTTTGTGTTTAATGCTCCAAACCTTCTCCGTGTGAGAAGAGGCCTTTTGCTTAGCAGTGGGCACTTATAGGCTGATGATGAATTATAATACGATATGCTGATTTCGCACTTATGCCATAAAAATGGTTGACAGAAAAAAAAAAAAATGAAAAAAATCTCACATGTAGGCTTCCCAGGGTCTGTATCATCATCCCGCTGACCAGTGTCATCGTCGATGGGATCATGATGATCATCATTGTTGATGGAGTCATCATCCCTTGACAAATCCAGCTCATCTTTCACATCCACTTCCGTCTTTATATTATCATCATTGTCTGTAAAGAAATAAATAGATAAAGTGTGGGAGAGCCATGGTTCGGTACGAATGGGTCGGGTCGACCGGAGTGATATCACGGCCTCCCATAAAACTGGCGTGAAACAACCACAGTTTTGTGTTTTGCCGTGTGAGTGAGGTTACCGAAGTCTCCAATCCTTGCCGTCCCCAATCCCTATATAATCCCCAAAAGAACGGCACTCGTAACTCCTCCGTCGTTGCAGGTGTCCATGAGCGGCGCTGATTGCTTACCATCAAGTAATCAGTCTGCTTGTTTGCCGAACTATCACCTAAAAAAATAAATAAAAAGCCTATTTTATATTTTAAAGATGTTTTTGTTTGAGGGGAAGATATGGCCTCTTTCAGTGTGCGGGCGAGAAGGAGTGTCAGACTCTTATCTATACTAATATTATAAAGAGGTAAAATTTGTAAGTTTGTATGTAGGGGGTAATCTTTGGAACTGCTGGGCGGATTGCCATAATTCTTTCACTTATTGATAGCTACAATGTTCCTGAGTGCTATAGACTATAAAACATCACGCTACGATTAAATGGAGCCGAGCAGCGGGTGAAACTGCGCGAGAGTAGCTAGTTGACTATAAACTGCACGATTGGTGCAGCGGCTGGGCAACTGGCTGCTGTTTAATCGCGGTGTCGATTCGTGTGTTGTTTATGTGAAATTGTATGTTTGTACACGCACCCACGGCATCAGACAATATTCTTGGTTCAGTATTCATAGTTATAGGTTTTTTTATGTCATAGAACGGCAAACGAGCAGACGGATTACCTGATGGTAAGCAATCAGCACCGCCAATGAACAATCGTAATACCAAAGGAGTTACTACAAGTGCTTTGGTTGTCTCTTGTGAGTTATTAGGTACTAGCTACTCTCGCGCGGTTTCACCCGCTGTTCGGCTCCATTCGATCGTAGCCTGATGTTGTAAGTATAGCCTATAGCACTCAGGAACATTGAAGCTATCTATCAGTGAAAGAATTTTGGCAATCCGACCAGCGGTTCCAAAGATTACCCCCTACATACAAACTTACAAATTTTACCTTCTTATAATATTAGTATAGATTTAAGGATAGGGTTTTTGAGGATTGAGGATTTGGGGAGGGGGGATTGCGCCTCCGGTAACAACGCAAGTGTTGCTTCACGTCGGTTTTCTAAGGCAGTGATATCCCTTCGGTCTAGCCGGCCCATTCGTGCCGAAGAATGGCTCTCTCATTCTTAGTGTAACTTTTGCAACGTTTTTGTAAATAAAATTATTTTATTTAGGGATTAATTTAATTTACAATTTGATTTTTTAATTTTATTTCTGTTTTCGCAAACCGCTTTGATGTTGTTATAATCATATAAGTACCTTTATATCTTTGTTCACGACTTTTACGCAAATCGTGTAAATTCGTAGTCTCTGTTATTGTGTTATAAGTTTATTTTTTGGTTTATATTTATAACTAAATTATTTTTTTAGACATATCAAAAATGTGTTAAGTGCTATTTATTCACATGTTATTTATTTGAAATGCTGATTTTTTTTATGTAATAGTTCGGCAAACGAGCAGACGGATTACCTGATGGTAAGCAATCAGCGCCGCCCATGGACACTCGCAACGGAGGAGTTACGAGTGCGTTGCCGACCATTTAGGGATTAGGGATTTGGAGATTTAGGGATTGGGGGAGGGAAAGGATTGGGCCTCCGGTAACCTCACTGACGCGGCGAAACACAACGCTGTGGTTGTTTCACGTCGGTTTTCTGTGAGGCCGTGGTATCACTCCGGTCGAGCCGACCCATTCGTGCACTACTACGTAAGTGTAACACTTACTTACGTATAAGTAATTGTTACACTTATGAAGTTATAAACTTAGTTTGTAAAATCTTGATTCCTGTGTAAACAACAAAAGAATTAGCTTACCATCATGTATGCGGACAAACGCGTTAAGGAGCTTCTCTTCGCACAGGAGGACTTGTTGTCGGAAGGCGCGCGCGTCCCTCAGTCTGACGACGCACGTCGCGCAGATCAGACGCTCTGACTCCTCGCCCTCCAAGTGAGATAACTGAAATAAAAGGAAGATTTAATTAGATTTTTTTTAACACAATACAACGGATAAATACTTGGCTATATGACATTTTTTTAATATGGTAGGATTAAGAAAAAACAAATTGGACGGCAAACAAGCAGACAGTTTACCTGATGGTAAGATGGACACAGCAATAATGGAGGTGTTATATGTATCAGTATATGTATAGTATTGCCGACCTTTAGCTCATGGAACAATACGGTAGTTTCCAACTAGTCAAATTCAATACTTTTATCCAAATATCAAAAACAACACTTTTCTATGAAATTTGTATGAAAAACTGAGTTATGACGGATTATACATAGGATTTTGACGGATGTATGGGACAGATTGAGCCTCCTGTAACCTCACTCACACGGCGAAACACAACGCTGTGGTTGTTACACATCAGTACTCTGTGAGGCCGTGGTATCACTCCAGACGATGGAAGCCAAATAAATGATTTTGACTTTGACTTTGACTCAAGCTCATTTCAGCGTCTCGTCTCAGAGTATTTAGATAGGAAATGACGGCTTCATTTATTTTTTTTATAAAATAATTTTGACAATATTGACAATCTTGAAGTGCTTTTTTCTTTGCAAAAATAAATTGTTTGTTGTATTATTTCAATACTACAGTCATTTTATTTTTGACCAAGACAAATACTAAGTTCTTTGTCTGACACTTAACACATATAATATCTATCTAGCAGGTATTTTTTTGTGTGAGGGGAAAATCATCAAATGACTTCTCCCGCCCAGGGCCGGGCGGGAGGGAGTGTCAGACTTACTGACTAAAAACCCCCCTGTTCCTTCTTCTGCTCTGGGCCGAGGTTACGGTGCCTCATTGCGCTTACCCTGCAACCCCGGCTGATCTATCTAGCAGGTGAGAGATACATTGGACATTGCCCTCAATAATGTGGTAGTTATGGAAATATATGCACAGGAAATAAGTCCAATAGTGGACTTTAACATGTTGTTTTTAAGTAACAGACTGTTTATTGTAAACAACAGTTTACGATTTTAACAACATTGATCTTCCCATCTTATGCTACTTGTGAACTAGAGTAAAATTGAAGATTTTATTTGAGTGTCTTGTTTAATATTGTGCTAGTATCTATATTTTATCGTATATTACAACAAAAATGAGCATTTAATCTAAATAAACAGTGATACTAACACTAAAAGTATTCATAACAGCATTGAAAATAGCTTCTATTAAATATTTTGTTTACGCTTTTCAAAAGTGAATGATACGAATTTCTATAGCAAGGAAAGATCTAAGGTTTATTCTAGAATAGATTTAGCAAGTAAAACACATCAAACTGACCACTAAACCGAAGCAATCCACAAACATATCTGCGTAAACTTCTCGCTGTCCCGACCATTCGTACTCGACGTTCAATAATCGGCACTTTTTAATAGAACCACAGCATCTACAAATGCCGGGGTCAACGATAGGACCCTTGCGATTATTAACGCTCATTTTGTAACAATTTTCATACAGTTTTCTTGTTAATATTCAACTTTAAATAGAAAATCAACACCCATTTGTATTTTGTATTTGACATCAATCTGAAGTTTGTTTGACAACTTTGAGATGAGGATAGATTACGTTTAGTTTGTCTGAAGTCGAATTAGGATATTACTGGGCTTTTCATTCAAAGTGTAAACTATGAATTTTATTCGTCATATAATGGCAGCCGACTTGACGTGTTTAATAAAACTAGTTAATATTAATAAATAAATGTATTTGTAAGAGAACTTTGCCCCTTGAAGTTAAGATTTGTCATTTAAGGTCAAGACCTCATCAAGTTTTTGTCGCTGCTCCTGTACATATAACCCCGCACTACGATTTTCTCCTGTGTCGTGTTTGCTATACACTGACTTAGTTTTATATAATCCTTACACCTATAATAGATCTAGAACAACAGTATGGGATCACACAAAGAGTTGCAGATCCGTGAGGAAATCGAACCCGCGACTCGTTGCCAAGCCACTACGCCAAACGTGCAGTCATACTACTACGTGACATATAAAAAATATATATTTTACAATAAAATACACTTATTTTATTGCGGCTTCGTTGGATGATTGCTTAAACTGCGACTGCCGGGCAAAAGGCCTCAATTTTCATATCCGCAAATATAAAAAAAAATGTATGTATACCAGCAGGTATGGCCACCAGCTATTATGTAGGTACAAGAGACAATTATGTATACTTGCAATGTTACTAATTAACATTTCCACTTTTCCTTAATCCTTTGAACGTTGAAAGTCATGATGACTTCGTGCTATGCGGAAAGTCAGTGCTGATGATGTGACGTGTGATCTAGATCATTGTTCTCTCTCCAAAAATCACAAGCTAAGCGGACACCAGTGTGCCCTCTCAGTTCTCTCACCCACCCAGTAGACTATAATTCAGATGCTTAGAGATTTAAAGACAGAATTTATGAACTTCTTTGCATACCTAATTAATTGATTTAATCACGATGAATTTATTGTAAACTAGCTAACCCGGCAAGCTTTGTACCGGCTCAAAATTAAATATAAATAATGTCTAAAATTTTGCTGACCTTTTAAACCTTCCCTGTATGTCCAGAAATATTTCAAAATCACAAGCAGCCATGTCGGTCCAGCCTTTCTCGACTTTTAGCAAGACTAACAAACAGCTATTCATTTTTATTATAAGAAAAGAAGAAGAGAAGTTAACTAAAAATCGCGCGTGCGCGACGTCGCCGCGTCCGCGCACGCTGCTCATGAAAGAACCCCTCTGTGGTTCGAAACTACGAGTAGTAGAGCTTTTCTCAATATATACACGTGAGTAACCCGCGATTTTTAGTAAATTTAGTATGTCTCACGATAGTTATTATAAAAAAGAAGAGACGTGTGGGAGAGCCATCCTTCACTCCGGTCGAGCCAACCCATTCGCGCCGAAGCACGACTCTCCCACACTTGGAATTCTATTCTACAAGCAGTGCCGGCGTTAAGGGGGGGGGGGGGGCGTAATGGGGCGGTGGCCCAGGGCGACAAATTATTAGACGCCAAGGTCTGAAATTGGCGTCTCTTGAATTTTTTATTGAAATTTTCAGGGATCAGCAAAAATTCTAACACTTTATATTGCTTCCCTCAAGTTGGTGCCACAATATTTTCCCGGGGTGTCAGTGGCCCTTACACCGGCACTGTCTACAAGTTACAAAGTTGAAACCTACTGCCAGCGTCTCAGCTGGATGTAACGGTCGCGATACTCCGCTTAGGAACCTGAAACTCCCCCTTAGTGAGGCGAAGATTCAACTGTGGGAGAGCCAAGCTTCGGCGACACGTGAGTGATACCACGGCCTCATATAAAACCGAGTTGAAACAACACAACAGAGTTGTGTTTTGCCGTGTGAGTGACGTTACCGGAGGCCCAATCTGTCTTCCTCCCCCCCATCGCTTCCCAATTCTGAAATATCCGAAACCCTTACCCCAAAAAGGCCGGCAACGCACTCGTAACTCTTTTAGTATTGCGGTTGTCCATAGGCAGCTGCGATTACTTACTATCAGGTAATCCGTCTGCTCGTTTGCGGACCTATAAATGACAAAAAACTGACGACTAAAACATGAACAGGAGCCGACATTACTGCGCTTGCATCCGAAACCTCAGCTGGGCCGTAATCGGGCACGCTGTTATAGCAGCGGTAAGAACTCTCTTTGAGGAATGGTTCGAGAGAAGCCACGGCGTCCTCACCTTCCACCTGACGCAGGTGCTTACCGAGCACGGCAGCTTCGGTAGGTTCCTGTTTCGGATCCAGCGGAAGGAAACGCCATTGTGTGTGTCCTCATTGTGCGGACACCCAGGGGACACAGAGAAGCATACGGTGTCAGTGTGCCCTGCCTGGGCTGAGCACAGGTACATAGCGTAGCGTTCTGCGCGCGCCTCAAAGAGCCAATAAACTACCACAGACGGGGCCCTATAGGGCTGATGTTTAGCCGGGGTTGAGGGGTAAGCGCAATAAGGCACAGCGACCTTGGCCCAGAGCAGGAGAAGACACGGGGGTTTTTTAAGTCAGTAAGAGTCTGACACTCCCTCCCGCTCGACCCTGGGCAGCAGAAGTCATTTGATGATTTTCCTCTCACAAAAAAAAAGGTGGACAGTAACGGGTCTTAGCGCTCGCACCGCTCCAGAACCGGTCTTGATAAAGGTAAGTTGATTGATAGTTAAGATTTTAATCATACCTTTTTTATAGGACGGCAAATGAACAGACGAATTATCTGATGGTAAGCTATAAGCGCCGCCTTTATTAGGATTAGGGATTTGGAGATTTTGGGATTAGGGGAGGGGAAGGATTGGGCCTTCGATAACCTCACTAACACGGCGAAACATCATGCCGTGGTTGTTTCACGCCGGTTTTCTGTGTGGCCGTGATCTCTCTCCGGACTCCGGTCGAGCCGACCCATTCATGCCGAAGCTCGGATCTCCCACACATATTTTATATTTAAAACTTAGCAACACAGCAGGGTGTCGCAAAACACACAAGATCGTCCCAAAAAGAAGTATAAAAAATATTTAGGTACCAATAAACGAAGAAGGAAAATAAATTTACGATTTCAAACAAACAAATACGATTTGCCAAGTTCAAGGTTTAATTTTTATACTTATGAATAATCGTTGTTTTTTTTTTCACCAAATGTCAGTCGCCCGGTCAGGTCGTCACGCGATTATAAAAAATATTTAATCTAATAGATGAACTTAGGGTTCCCTGGGTACCATAACAGGAAAAAGGATTGTCATTGTTTTAATAAGCTACTTATTAAAATTACAACTTAGAAAAACCTACTGAAAAACATGACTACTTAAAAAAATGGTAGTTTTTGTGTTCATTAAAGTGTAGAAGGGCCATGCTTCGGCACGAACGGGCCCAGACAAGGCACAGAAAACCGGAGTGAGTTAATATGTCGGACGTTAAATTTTTCTCCTTTTTCTCCCTATCCCTTCCAATACCGGGTAAGTTCGGGTACTTTGACCCTGCGGGGTAACTTTGATCCAAACCCTTTAACCAATAATAACTGAGAACCAAACATACATATATTCGTTTTTTATTGGTTCGAAAATTTGGATCAAAGTTACCTCCCAGGGTCAAAGTAACCCGAACTTACGGTACCTTTTTTTGTAAGGGTGAAACATTATATGCCTTGTCCCGCCCAGAGTGGGAAGAAGGAGTGTCAGACTCCTCAAACTTGCCTAAAAAACCCCTGTTCCTTCTCCTACTATAAGCTAAGACCGCTGTGCCTTATTGCGCTTACCACACAACCTCGGCTGACCATCAGCCCTCTAGGGCCTATAGGGTCTATGGTGGTCTATTGGTTCTTTACATTCGGGTCTAGTTCTGGTCGCAGGTACACGCTTACGGTACGCATCCCACCCCAATACCTAGCGGCGACCTCTCGCGCCCGGCCTTAGTCGAGGCCATGGTGCGGAGTGAGAGGAACTGGGACGCCGTCTCCTCCTTTTGTGAAGCGGTCATGCTCGCAAAGAGAGAGGCGGCCCGCGTGAGGGAGCAATCCTCCTCCTCACGCCCCAGCAGCCGCAACTGGCGACACTACGGGCGTCGGGGATCGAGGGACGATCTCCGGCCACCGTAAGCACGGGCCTGCGGTCGGCGAGTAAGGGCAGCTCGCCGTCCGACCAGAACCAGGCCCGAGCGTACGGCGCGTAGCGTTCCGCGCGCGCTTCAAAGAGCCATTCGACCACCACAGACGGGGCCCTAAAGGGCTGATGTTCAGCCGGGGTTGCGGGGTAAGCGCAATGAGGTACCGCGACCTCGGCACAGAGCAGGAGAAGGAACAGGGGGGTTTTTAGTCAGTAAGAGTCTGACACTCCCTCCTGCACGGCCCTGGACGGGAGAAGTCATTTGATGATTTTCCACTCACAAAAAAAAACCCCAATACCTAAGACTCCAAAACCCTGGTGTAGGAATAAATACGTTTGCTTTAAAAAAAAAAAACATTTTATTTGTACGGACCCCTTCGTAGTAACGCGACAGCGAATACCAACCAGTTGCTTATGACATAAACCGGTCATTTAATTTAAATAATAGTGAATTAACACTTTCCATGTCGTTTAAATTTTCACGTGCATGTCAGATTCTTAAGCGGGCGTGTCGCGACCGTTACATCCAGCCGAGACGCTGGCAGTAGGTTACAACTTTGCAACTTGTATAATAGAATTTTAAGAGTGTGTGTCGACCCATTCGTGCCGGAGACACCAATGGGTCGGTCGACCGCAGTGAAGGACGTCTCTCCCACACTTATCTACTTCTTTAAATGAATTGCTATTTGTTAGTCTTGCTAAAACTCGAGAAACACTGAATCAACATGGCTTATTGTGGCCTTGAACTATTTCTGGACATACAGTGAAAGTTTAAAAGGTCAGCAAAACTTTAAACATTAGTTATATTTAATTTTGAAGCGGTACAAAGCTTGCCGTGTCAGCTAGTTTACAATAAATTAATCGTGATTAAATCAATTAATAAGTATGCAAAGAGGTTCATAAATTCTGTCTTTAAATCTCTAAGCATCTGAATTATAGTCTACAGGATGGGTGAGAGATCTCAATGACACCGCTTAGCTTTTTGATTGCTGGAAAGGTGAGGACGTTATGGGGTCACGGACACAATAATAATTATCCATATTACACATCATCATCACCAGCCTATAAGTGCCCACTGGTGAGCAGAAGTCTCTTCTCACACGGAGAAGGTTTGAGCACTTATCAACACGCTTGCTCAAGGCGGATTGGCGATTTCAAACTTGTAATTGGAAATTATAAGTTGAGGTTTTCTCGCGATGTTTTCCTTCACCGTAGGTCAGTGGTGTCTAAATAATCATAGAATGTAGGTATATTAGGCATTGAAAACGTAATATATTGGTGCTTATCCGATTGCGCACCCTAATGCATGAGAAGTAGGCGCCTTAGTCTCCGGGCCAGCACGACTAACACAATTATACATAAGTATATCGTAATAATCAGCCTGATGTCGTCCACTGCTGTACATAGGCCTCCCCAATTGCACGCCACTGAGCTCGATGTTCAGCTCTTCTCATCCAACCACTGCCAGCCTTACGGATATCGTCAGTCCAGCTAGCTGGAGGGCGCCCTACACTACGTTTGCCTAGACGTGGTCTCCACTCTAGAACAAGTCTACTCCGACGGTCATCGGTTCTTCGCCAAATGTGACCTGCCCACTGCCACTTCAGTTCGCTATGTCCATTATCCGCTCATTGATAATTAAACTATCCTGATTAATGTTCAGTCAGAAACTCAAAAACGGTCCTTGCCTTCAAATGACCGAATCCGCACTCTACCGAAGTTATTAATTAAAAGTGACGTCACAATGTCGTAGATGTATGTATTTTACAAGTTTTGAACCTGTTTTAGTGTCATCTTTACACACGTAGAGGTCAAGTTTTGGGTTCTCTTTGATATCACATGGGTAACAAAATGTATCTGCTTCATAAGGAAAAACTAAAATGGTGTTTGGTAGAGGAGTGCCAAGTCAACTTTCCAAGATTTAGATAATTATTTTTAATGGTATGAATGAGGTAGTTAACGAAATGGCAAATCACCTGATGGTGATCAATCAACGCCGCTACTGGATATCCGTAACAAAAAAGAGTTACATTATCATTGAATGTTTTTTTCTTGGTGAATGATTGGCGGCAGCCAGTTGCCCAGCCACAGCGCTAACCATGCAGCCTTATTATATAAAATTATTTTTAGATAGCAAAAAAATTGGGTGGGTCTCGTGGTTTGATCATATCTTAGTTAGTATCTGGGTAATTCAATCATGACGGTTGAATAGAGTTTTTTTAAAAACGTATAAAGCGTTTCCTCACCATGTCTTTAGTCACCGATAGTCGGGAAACAAGGATTAAGGTTATAAGGACGCAAGTAAAGAGCGGTTACCGGTCTGTTGAGGATTAGGGTTTAGGAGATGTACGGATTGGCTGTTGATGGGGAAGGGAAGGAATGGGCCTCTGGCAACCTCACGCACAGGGCGAAACAACGCGCTGTGGTTGTTTCGCGCCGGTTTTCTGTGAGGCCGTGGTAACACTTCGGTCGAGGCAACCCCTTCGTGCCAAAGCACGGCAAAGTTTCTCACTGTGAATATCTCGTGTCATCGAAATAGTCCTAGAAAGTCATTAAGTACATATAATTCTGAAAAAGTCAGACTGGAACCATTCATAACAGTAACTTATATGAGTTCTAAATCCTAAAAAAGAAAACCTTTCAATGCTCAGAATGCAATTTAATAAATATACCTATCTACACAATGCCTGTACGTCTGTCGTAATTATAAAAACTTATACAGTAAGAGAGTGGCAGAGTCGTCAGAATCATGACATGATATACATGGTGTGTGTATGATTATATGTATTTATGTAATATTATGTGTAAGTTCTTATGTAAGTATACATATATGTATTTACTTGGTAATGAATGATATATATATATATATATATATATATACATATATATGTATTGTATGTGTAGATTTATTATAGTGGTATATATATTCTTCAGCCTTTTACAATTTCACAAACTTCATGCTTGCTTCTTGCATCTGCCATTGTTATTCTTCTCTGCATCACCCAAAGGTCAGACTGGTAGAGAATGCTCAAAGCATTAAGTCCACCTTGTGTACAGTATCTTGTGCATGAAGCTTTTAAATAAAAATAAATAAATAAATAAATACAGTACAAGAATTCGTTTTAAAACTATCTGTGATGTAGTAAGGACGTCCTCAATCAAGCTATTACAATGCATATTGCAGAAAAACAGAAAAATCTTGAATTAAGAAGTATTCATAAAGGTACTTATAGATAGATGTAAACTAATGACATAGCGTAATGACTCTCGTCTCAACACGAAGTTGCGAAAAAAACTCACCTAAACGGACTTGGTTAAGGTTTTTTATTTTATGTTTTTCAATCCTGATTGAAATGGTAATTCCGGACTATTTTGTTTTTTAAAAAAGGTCAACGAGAATCAGTTTGAATTAATATTTTTGTGTGTGTGAACGTTTGTAATATCGTATTAGGATAATTTTATTATTTAGATAATTTAAATTTAAAAAATGTATTATAACAAATATTTTATTGTTATTTTGAACGTGTTGATATTTAATTTTTATTCATCGAAATGTGATTTTGATATTGAAGAAGGTATGATTTTTTATCTATGCTTACTTATAAAGTTTTTTTTTGTATAAAAACCGCGAAAGGAATTTTAATTTTCAGCGCTTTAATAATGTTACCCATTTTTTTGTTTGGATTGTCTATCTTGCTAATCTATAATTATTATTATTTTACAATATTCTGCCAGCGGGTTCACCCGTTGTTCCTAGCCTATTATGTCATTCCAGATTATAATTTACTAGCTTTTGCCCGCGACTCCGTCCGTATGAAATAGTCGCTTCCTGCAGATTTTTGGTAATATAAAAACTTCCCTATGTCCTTTCTCGAGTTCCAAACTATGTCTGTACCAAATTTCACAGAAATCGGTTTAGTAGTTTAGGTGCTAAGAAAAGACAGACAGACAGAGTTGCTTTCGCATTTAATATGATAGTTTGGATCTAAATTCAAAGTTTTCCAAATTTCAATCAGATCCGTTCTATAATTTTTACTTGAAAGAGTGACAAGCGTCCGACCAATTCCTCCATGCTTACAGAATTTCGCGTTAATAATATTAGAGTTATGTGTATTCAGCAGTCCCTTAGGCTAAAAAAGAATTGCTTGGATTTAAAAAGTCATATTAGTACTTTAAGTGTGGGAGAGCCAAGCTTCGGCACGAATGGGTCGGCTCGACCGGAGTGATACCACGGCCTCACAGAATACCGGCGTGAAACAAACAACCCACAGTGTTGTGTTTCGCCGTGTGAATGAGGTTACCGGAGGCCCAATCCCGTCCCTTCCCCTATCCCTTCCCGATCCTTACATCCGCAACCCTTATCCCCAAAAGGCCGGAAACGCACTCGTAAATCCTTTGGTGTTGCGGGTGTCCATGGGCGGCGCTGGTTGCTTACCATCAGGTAATCCGTCTGCTCGTTTGCCGACTTATACCATTAAAAAAAAAAGTACTTCCAAGGTTTGAAACCGGACTTTTGTAATTCAGAAGTGGATTCCCGACTTTCTTTTTTTTCGGGGGAAAATCATCAAATTATTTTTCTCGCCCTGAATGAGGAGAGAGGGTGTGTCAGAGTCTTTCTGACTAAAATCCACCCCGTTCCTTCTCCTGCTTTAGGCCGAAGCCGCGGTATGTTATTGCTTGTCTCGCATCCCCAGCGGAGCAATCAAATTATACTTAAAATGAATATTTGATTAAATTAACTTAAATCTTGGGAAAAACGAATAATTAATTTATCTTGGTATTACCCAGAGTTTGTCCTTTTCGTCCGTTATTAAAATTAATTATTGTCTAAGCCACAACACAAGACTTTAATTAAGATTCTTGTTAAATAACTTTTAAAAACTTTACGTGGATTTATTATTGACGTTGCGATAGCTCCATTTCTTTCAGGACGGACTGCAAGGACTATGACAGTTTTTTTTATTCCACTTCTTCAAACTTTAATGGAATAGGTCATCAAACAAGCAAAGTAAATGTCATCTAAACCAACTAAACCATAAATACTTTTGAAACGTCAAAATAGAATAATAGTCTGTCAGTCTGTTCGTCAGTGAAGCTATGAAGGTGTCCAATCCAAATTGTAGATTCGAATATAGAAAAAAAAGCACCTAGCTTCACTGACGAACAGAATGACAGACTATATACTTCTCTATTTTGACGTTTCAAAGTACCTATTTATGGTTTAGTTGGAATAAATGATTTTGATTGGATTTAAGTTGATGAGAAATAAACATTGGATTTCTTCTTAAGGATGTTTTTTTTCTCTCAATGGGATTTGAATGTAGTTTTTTTTAAAGGATAGAGTGATTGAAGAGGAAGTTTTATATGTATAATAACACCCATTAAAGTGGAGGAATTAAGTGTCAGCATTGCACGGTGAATCCGTGCGAAGTCGGGGCGCGTTGCTAGTTTTCACTAAATACATCAATTTTTCTCTTTCTCAGGATCTCAGTGTTCGGACGGCCGCGGTAAGAATGGAACGTGTGTGAACGCTTGCCAATGCCTGTCCATGATAGAAGATGTCAAGAGGAAGAGTTACCCACAGGTTGGTGTCCCTGATGATCTCTTTCTATCCGAAAGGGGGTAAACGAGTAGATGAAACAACAGTTCAAAGGTTCCTCCTCCAAAGGGATGGACAACTTTTAAACAGAGGAGGGCCTTAAATTATCTCAGTATGCACTTATAAAAAGTACAGTCAGGAGTCAAAAATGCAATTACACTTTACCAATTTTAAAATAACCAAAATATCTTTGTAGAATAGAGTCAATGGTTGAGGACTGCTTTAATTTATAGCGTAGTATCTAAATAATTGAATAAACTGGCTGTGAACCATTGAACGTTTACTACAAAGAAATTTTAGTCATTTTAAAATTGGTAGAGTGTAATTGCATTTTGACCTGACTGTACCTGTTATGTTTTCCAGATCTGCTCGTTTCAAGGCAACGTGCCGATCGTATGCTGCACTGATTGTGAGAAAGTTACCCATATAAAGTAAGTTAGTATGTTATCTTTTGTTTTATTTATATAAAACTTTAGTACCATGCAGCTATAGAAGATGTATAGCTCCATCCCTCTTTCTCGCAGCTATAGAAGATGTATAGCTCCATCCCTCTTTCTCGCAGCTATAGAAGATGTATAGCTCCATCCCTCTTTCTCGCCCGAAAGATTCACGCTTAAAACCGTAGTGGTAGGCCCTCAGTACTTCACTGTCACTATGTACGTTTAAATCTTTAAAACTACGCGATTTTGATGCGGTTATTTTAATAGACAAAGTAAAAAATTGAAGTGGAAGGTTTATATGTTGACTGCACGTTTGGTGCGGTGGCTGGGCAACTGGCTGCCGTACAACGTGTCGCGGGTTCCATTCCCGCACGAAATTGTATGTTTGCAACAGCATCCACGACAAAGGAGAAAAGCCTAGTATGGGGTAACGTTTTTTAAAAAAGGAAAGACAAAAAATGAAATAGATAATATGTATAATAATATCTATTAAATGGCGGAGAAATTTAGTATATTGCACACGTGCGAAGCCGGAGTGGGTCGCTAGCATTACGTAAACAACTACATTCGTCACGTATTTTCAAGTTCCCACCTAGTAAGGAAAGGGGTTTTTTATCTATACTTCTACTAATATTATAAAGAGGTAAAATTTGTAAGTTTGTATGTAGGGGGTAATCTTTGGAACCGCTGGTCGGATTGCCAAAATTCTTTCACTGATAGATAGCTACAATGTTCCGGAGTGCTATAAGCTATAAAACATCACGCTGCGATCAAATAGAACCGAGCAGCGTGTGAAACCTCGCGAGCTTAGCTAGTCATCAAATAATTTTCGAGAGTGCCGGAGCTTATGACTACTGTACTGGTTTCTAAGTCTGAGTATGAATAACAGTCCCGTTGTGACTTCAAACTAGTAGAGTTCTTCTCAGTTACTTCACGTGAATAAGTCTTTAATTTCGATCGATTTACAGTAATTACCTCTTTATAAATTAGCGCTGTATAGCGAGCAACGAAAAGCGCAGCCATGACCGATTTTTTTTTTGTTTCGAATCTGGTAAAATTAATTATAAATACTCTTTTGTTTATTTCCAGCCATGCCATCGTTGACAAGTTAGGTGGCATACACTTCAGGACTGGACGGAAAGCTTATGATGGTAAGAAAATATACACAATCCCCCCCCCCACATGCTCAATTCACAAATCCCCTATCCTTAAATCCCTAAAGACCCACAAGAGGTCGGCGACGCACTTTTCCTTTGGTATTACGATTGCCCATGAGCGGCGCTGATAGCTTTTTTTTCGTCAGGGAAAAATATCAAAGGACTTCTCCCGCCCAGGCGAGAGAGAGTTTCAGACTCTTACTGACTAAAAACCCCCCTGTTCCTTCTTTTGCTTTAGGCCGAGGCCGAGGTCGCAGTGCCTCATTGCGCTTGCCCCGCAACCTCGGCTGAACATCGGCGATAGCTAACCATCCCATAATCTGCATGTTCCTTTGCCGATTTACATCATAAAAAAACAATCCATTTAGCGGATAGAGCGCTGCGCTGATTTCAAACTGAAAATCTTATTCTTTTAATATTTTGATAGCTTAAACTTGAAGCTGATTAAAGAGTTTCCAGTAGAACAAATAGTTTTATATTTTCCATCCGTAGACGTATAGATAGACGGTTAAAAAGCCGGTAGACTACCACAGATGGGTCCCAATAGGGTTGATATTCAGCCGGGGTTGCGGGGCAAGCGCAATTTTAATGTACAGCAGCCTTGGCCTGGAGAAGGAGAAGAAACGGGTTGGATTTTAGTCAGTAAGAGTCTGACATTGTCTCTCGTGTGTGAGAGAAGATACCTATTTGATGATTTTTCTCCCACAAAAAAGAAGATGGTTGATAGATAACAACTTTTCTTTTTTGCGAAACTTGTCTCGCACAGAGAAACTGTTAAAATGGCTTCCGAACCAATACGATTTTACGATTTATTTTTGATTTATACGATTGACCTTCAAATACCGTGTTCTTTCTTAAAGAACTTTTGAATCTTCTGTTTAAATTTAACTGATGTTGATACAGCGCCATAAGTTTTTTTCAGTTATTTCCATAACATCATGTCATATGGTATTTCGTTGTGAGGGAATGCATTCAGTCTATCTTTGTGCTGCAGAAGAGGGTTATTTGATCAATACACAATCTTATGCCAATAAAATAATATGTTAAGGGTATGGGCATCCTCAATACCAGCAGTGCTATTCTGTAAATGGTAAATTTCACCTCGAAAGTCACGCGCAACCTCGCTTCTCATCTCGCCTGTACACAAACGTCAAAATACTCATTTGTTTTAGTTCCTTTCACTCCATGATTCACATGGTGGCGCCAATTTTGACTGCACGGTTGGTGCGGTGGCTGGGAATCTGGCTGCCGTGAAACGTGTCGCGGGTTCGATTCCCTCAAGGAACAACACTTTGTGTGATCCACAAATTGTTGTTTCGGGTCTGAGTATGATGTGTATGTGAAATTGAATGTTTATAAACGCACACACGACTCACTACAGGAGAAAATACTAGTGTGGGGCAATGTTTAAAAAAAAATGTAGACTTCACTCCATTTTAGAATACGAAAATTTTAATAAACATGATTTCACCGCGGATTCAGAAGTGATTTTGCAAATTAATTTTTAAGAATAGCATTGCTGATATGTGTACATGTATAGTCCCTCTTTCTCGCCGGGAAGATTGACGCTTCAACACGTCATGGTAGGCCCTCAGGACGGCGCTGATCGTTTACCATCAGGTAATACGCTTTCTTGTTTAGCACCTCACAAAGAACTTACTTTAAACTTTCTCATCCTCAGTATGTCTAGAACACCTCGCGAACCTGCCCTACGAGGGATGTGGCCCCACTTCGGGCCTGGTGAAGCTTTGGCATGAGCAGGAGCAATGCTACAAGTACTCCCACAGATACGGCGTCTACGCTGCACATATTGGACAGGACGCCAGGAGGGGACAGTTTCCACATATGGTATGTGGTAATTTTTAAATAGTATTTATCGTTAGGCATAAAATTTATTGAAAATTCCGACTTATTCACGTGAATTTACTGAAAAAAGCTGTCCTAGTTTCAAGTTACAAGGAGACTTTTATTCATGAGCAGCTTGCGCGTCCTGACGTCGTTGTGACTTGAATTTGGATCGAGTTAATTCAGTCTTTATTTTTAATAAACTATAGATAATTTCTCCTGCGTAATGATCTCGTTCCATTAGGCAGAATGGAAGACATTGTCTGAAAATACTAACGGTACCTTTCCCAAATTAGAGCCTATGTAATAATGTCTTTAAAAGCAAGTTCTTTTCAAATAAGACCTTGCAGTTAAAGACTGTTTTAGATAAATTGAGTTTGACCAAGTTATCCAACATTTTCAGGCGCTGCTCGGCTACGGTGGGTCGATGGACACAGCGGATTGGTTGTGCGGTGGCTCACTGATCAGTGACAAGTTCATCCTGACCGCCGGTCACTGCATCTCCAGTGCTGTGCTGTGAGTTTACTGATTATCTGAAGTTCAAACTTATTGTTATAAGTTTCCTTACGTGTCTAACTAACAGTTAATTAAAAAACGACATCCTTCTCCATTGGAATCTACACTTTGGGACGAGTAAATAGCTCCACTAGAGGATACCGACAGCCCGAGCGTACGGCGCGTAGTGTTCCGCGCGCCACAGACGGCGTCCTATAGGGCTGATGTTCAGCCAGGGTTGCGGGTTAAGCGCTATCAGTCACCGCGGCCTAGGCTCAGAGCAGGTGAAGGAACGGGAGGATTTTTAGTCAGTAAGAGTCTGACATTCTTTCTCGCCTTACCCTGGGCGGGAGAAGTCATTTGATGATTTTCCCCTGAAAAAAGAGGATACCGAAAGACTGTCACGCAAAGTTGAACTTTTAGATTTTTTTGTTTGACGTTCCAAAGTGCCTATAGAAAGTGGTCTATTTAAAATAAATGATTTGACTTGTCTACTGGACAAATTTTGACGGTTTTTAATACAAATTTAAGGTAAAAACGTTAGAACTATTGCTAAAAACTATCTACTATATGTAGGACTCAGCTGCATGCGAAAAGAACTCTCTTTTATTTTTGATCTGCTGTACAATGATAAGCTAGATTCACACACACCTAAAATCGCCATTTTTGGCCACATAGTTCGATTCTGGATCATAATTTTGCTATTGGAAATAATTCTAAACTCAATTTTAAGACTAGTCAAGGCTTCATACTTTTAGTGAGTATAAACTTAACTTTTTAAATTCAACAAATTAAATTTTTTGTAATAAGTCAGCAAACAAAGCATACGTATCGCCTGATACTAAAAACGCGCCGCTCACGTACACACAAGACAAGAATAGTACCTACCGAGTGCTTTGCCGGCCATTTAGAGATTAGGGTTTTTGAGATTTAGGGATTGGGGGGGGGGGGGTAACCATACTCACAAGGCGAAACACGACGCTGTCATTGTTTGACGACGGTTTTCTGTGAGACCGTGGTATCACTTCGGCAAAGCCGACCCATACGTGCCGAGGCATGGCTCTCCCATACATTCTGCAACTTAAAATTGCAACATTAAATTTTTCAGCGGCAAAGTCCGTTTTGCGGCGATGGGCATTCTTCGACGAACGGATCCGCCGGAGCGCTGGCACCGGTACCACGTCTCGCGTATAGTGCCACATCCCGAGTACCACGCGCCATCTAAGTACCACGATATAGCTTTACTGGAAACGAGTAAAAGGTCGGTCACCTAACCTCATTCTTGTTTCAAAGGCTTCTTATAGGTTATGAGGATCATCATATCCTACTTTTTACATTTTTTTATGGTATGCAATCGGCGCCGCCCATGGACAACCGCAATACCAAAGGAGACTCGCTGCTGGCGTTTTGGGGATAAGAGTGCCATATATTCAAGGATTGGGAAGGGATAAGGGGAGAAGACCAAAACTTGACTCTCCCACAATTAATTCACGAACTATGGCTACCAATAGCCATAGATCGCGTATTTATTGTGTCCAGAGTCACCATTGTTTTGGTGATAGAACATTAAAAAAGAGATTATCTTACATTTTGAATAGTCTGCCGGCAGACGTAAGGAGTGATACAAATTCGAATACAGTAAAGTTACCTTTAAGAATTTAAAAAATATTTCCAGTTTAGTTTCAATTTACAATATATATATCTATAGAATACGTATTTAATAATACTTAATAGTTTTCTTTTGTTTTTTATGTAATTGGTCGGCAAATGAGCAGACGGATTACCTGATGGTAAGCAATCAGCGCCGCCCATGGACACCCGTAATACAAAAGTAGTCACTATAAGTGCGTTGCCGGCCTTTTCTGGGTTATTAAGGAATTAAAGATAGTTGATTTTAAGGATTGAGATTGAGGGGTGGAAGGATTGGTCCTTCGGTAACCTCAATCACACGATGAAAAACTAGTTTTTGTCGTAAATTTGGCGGTTGAGGCTGATTCTATTGTTAATTTACTTCTTTAATATTTTAGGGTAAACTTCAACTTACACGTGTACCCGGCTTGTCTGAATATTGACGACCATTTCCTCGGAGTGGTCACTGCCACGGGCTGGGGGGCGCTCGGACATAATATGGAGCTAGCAGACACGTTGCAAGCTGTGAGTTGATATCTTAACTTCCTTCTAAGTATGGTAAACTTTTTGACCACCACGTCAAGAGAACTCGCTCTCTCTTGCAAACATACTGTCAGAAAAGCTTACGGCAATATTATAATTATAATATTATTATTACTAACTTTTGCCCGCGAATCCGATCGCGTTGAAATCTGATTTTCTGCAGATTTTTGGTATAAAAACTATCCTATGTCCTTTTTCGAGTTCCAAACTATGTCTGCTGTATCAAATTTTATAGATATCGGTTCAGTAGTTTAGGCGTGAAGAAAGACAGACAGACAGACTTAGGTACTTTCGCATTTATAATGTTAGCATAGATATTGTGTGTATTATCTTGAGCTACAACAAATGATAAATAAACTTTTATAATTGTTTTTAAATAACTCGTTCGTTTACAAATCGAATAAAAAAAGCATAACGAGGTCTTCATACAATTCCAGGTATCTCTCCAATCGTACTATGAAGAGGTATGCGCAGTGCATTATCCCCCACATCGACACTTGCTGTCTGGCTTCAACGGCACCATTCAGATGTGTTATGGAGACGAATTGGGGGCTCGGGATACGTGTGAGGTTCGTAATAACAATCTTGTCCACCAGCAGCACGCCTCGAGGCGGCGGCGCCGTGTTTCGCGCGCGCCTTGTACTGCAGTCCTGCGGTCGGAGTGAAGGCCGCAGTGGGTGACCGGTGAGCCGAAACCTGTCGGGGGGTTGCGATGAATGCTTCGGCGATACCCGCCCCTCTGACACATGGGTAATTGGAGGAACACAGAGTTGGTTTTTAGTCAGTAAGAGTCTGAAAATACCCTTCGCTTTTCCCCATGAGCGTTGGGTTTCCATGAGGAATTTCCGGCCCTATACCAAAAAATAGGTTCGTAATATCACATTACTTTTAAAATCTATATATATAAAAGAAAGTCGTGTTAGTTACACCACTTATAACTCAAGAACTGCTGAACCGATTTAGCTGAAAATTGGCAGGGAGGTAGTTTAGAGCCAGGAGAAGGACATAGGATAGGATAGAGTAGGTAGAGTAGGTCAGGTAGAGTAGGGTAGGTAGAGTAGGTAGGTAGAGTAGGGTAGGTAGAGTAGGTTAGGTAGAGTAGGGTAGGTAGAGTAGGGTAGCTAGAGTAGGTTAGCTAGAGTAGGGTAGGTAGAGTAGGGTAGTAGAGTAGGGTAGGTAGAGTAGGGTAGGTAGAGTAGGGTAGGTAGAGTAGTAGGTAGAGTAGGGTAGGTAGAGTAGGGTAGGTAGAGTAGGGTAGGTAGAGTAGGGTAGGTAGAGTAGGGTAGGTAGAGTAGGGTAGGTAGAGTAGGGTAGGTAGAGTAGGGTAGGTAGAGTAGGGTAGGTAGAGTAGGGTAGGTAGAGTAGGGTAGGTAGAGTAGGGTAGGTAGAGTAGGTTAGGTAGAGTAGGGTAGGTAGAGTAGGGTAGTAAGAGTAGGGTACGTAGAGTAGGGTAGGTAGAGAAGGGTAGATAAAGTAGGGTAGGTAGAGTAGGGTAGATAAAGTAGGGTAGGTAGGGTAGGTAGGTAGGGTAGGTAGGTAGGGTAGGTAGAGTAGGGTAAGTAGTCAAATGACGGGAGCGACGCCGCGGGTAAGAGCTAGTTAAGTATAAATACGAAGCTAGAAGATTTATTTATGGTTTTGAAGAAATTTTGCAACAACAACATGGAGATGTAAATAGTTTTTTTTACTACAATGCTGGCGCGAAATGCTACGCAATAAGTCACGGCTTGATCCACTTGGAACTGCTCTTTTCGGTTCAAGTGCGATTTTATGTGTTTTTTAACAAAGTAAAACATACAACGAGCATTCTGATTACCATAAGGTAATCAGAATGCTCGTTTGCCGACATATGATATAGAAAGAAAAAACACTGAAGACATGGGGCGACTATAACAAAATGGGCAGCGTTTGTTCACAAAATGGCGCAAATAATTTAAAAGATCTCTCTCCTCTTTTGCAGGGTGACAGCGGAGGTCCTTTGCAAGCCAAGCCCGTCCTTTCAAGATGTCTCCACACAGTGATTGGTGTGACGTCATACGGTCGAAACTGTGGCTACTCCGGTCAACCGGGTATTTATACAAGGGTGCGCTTCTATGTGCCATGGATCGAAAGCGTAGTGTGGCCGGACTAAATGGCGCTAGTGTCGTATTTGGATGTTTCTGATGTTTGAAAAAGAATAGTGAAATACGGAATATTTCTGTGATGCAAAGATTGTGAATTGGTTGATAAATGCGTCTCTGCTAAAGCCTTCGATGATCAAAAGAACGTTATGTTTTCTAAGTAAGTAGCACAAATGTAAATTATGTTTTTTAATTCAAATTGGAATCGCCATGTATACAAAATTTGGAAGCATTTTGTTTTAAAAGTGTTTACTTAGTGTGTTTTAAGTGGGAGGGCTATGCTTCAGCACGAAAGATCTAATCTCGACCGGAGTGATATCACGGCCTCACAGAAAACAGGCGTGAAACAACTACAGCGTTGTGTTCCACCGTGTGAATGAGGTTATAGGAGGCCCCACCCTTCCTCTCCCCAATCCCTAAATCACCAAAATCCTAATCCCTAAAAGAACGGCAACTTACTCCTAACTCCTCCATTGTTGTGAATGTCCATGGGCGGCGCTGATTGCTTACCATCAGGTAATCCGTCTGCTTATTTGTATCACATAAAAAATGTACAATGAAACATGAAAGTTGACGATAGGTAATATTTATTAGTGCAATAAAGTGGATATTATTTATAAGCACACCTGACTAGATAGGTAGATTATTTGTATAAGAAATTAATCCAAACTAATATTATAAATGCGAAAGTAATTCTGTCTGTCTTTTCCTCACGCCTAAACCACTGAACCGATTTCTGTGAAATTTGGTACAGATATATTTTGGAACTCGAGAAAGGACATAGGATAGTTTTTATACCAAAAATCTGCAGGAAGTCATTATTCCACGCGAACGGAGTCGCGGGCAAAAGCTATTGTAATTTTAAATTAGCCATTCTCATAAAATTTAGGTTCATACCCTTCGGTCAGCCGGGGTTGCGGGGTAAGCGCAATGAGGCACCGTGACCTCGGCCCAAAGCAGGAGAAGGAACGGGGGCGTTTTAGTCAGGAAGAGTCTGACACTCCATTCTGCGCGACCCTGGGCGGGAGAAGTCATTTAATGATTTTCCTCTAACAAAAAAAACCATTTCGGTACATTAGCACTTGATTGATATGTGGCTCATGGCTCTATATGTATATAGGTACTTTGGTTATAGTAAGTTAGGTACCTAAAAAGCAAGATCCCTAATTCATCAGTTTTGTTTTGAATCATTAGAACCACGAGGGGCTGCTCGTTCTTTAATGTCTTGTTTGTTTTTAAGTTTAAAGGAATATAATTTTAAGTAATTCTAAGTCTCATGCTGTGATCTTTAGTGTAATTAACTATGTAAAAAATAATATCTAGATTTTATTGTAAAATATAAATTTGCAAGGGATTAAAATGATAATAAATAAATTATAATAAGTACAATTATTAATAATATGTAGTTTTATTTACGTTAAGGATCAGATCTGAAAAACAGTCGATGCGTTTAAGTGACGAAAGAAAATTGCACTCATTGGTTGACTTCACGAGTGGACAAAAAAGGCACGCAGCACAGTTCGTAGGGATCACAACCACTTTTCATTACCCGTCTAGACATTGCCATTGTACATTGCAAGTCCAAGATTCAATAGACCACCACAGATTGGGCCTAACATGGCCGATATTCAGTCAGGGTTGCGGGGCAAGCGCAATAAGGTAACGCAACCTCGGCCTGGAACAGAAGAAGGAACGGGGTGGTTTGTTGAGGCACGCAGGGCAGAACTCCGCCAGGCCTTAGTGGCGGAGTGGCAGACGCGTTTAGCGCAACACACGGCGGGGTACGCCGCTATAGCGGCGGTAAGGTCCGTTCTAGAGGAGTGACTCAACAGGAGCCATGGCGCCCTCAGCTTCCGGCTGACTTAGGTGCTTACCGGACACGGGTGTTTTGGGCAGTACCTGTGTCGCATTGGTCGGGAGCTGACGTCTCAGTGCCACCATTATGGTGATTGCTGCGACGATACGGCGCTGTATACCTTGGCGGAGTGCCCAGCTTGGGTCGAGCAGCGCCGTGACCTGGTCGTGGCCATAGGTGTTGCAGAAAATCTCTCCCTTCTGGCTGTAGTGCCGTCGCTACCTTCTGCAAGGCCGTGATGCTCGCAATGGAGGCGGCGGATAGGGAGAGATAGGCTGCCTCCTCTCTCCCTTCCCGCAGCAGACGGACTAGACGTCGTAGTGTGGCCGACCTGGGGCCACCGTAGGGCGCGGCCTGCGGACAACAGACAGTCTTGTCGTCAGACCAGCAGCAGGCCTCGAGGCGGCGGTGCCGTGTTCCGCGCGCGCCTCATGGTCTCCACCCTCCTGCGGTGGGTGACGGGGCCCGCCTAACCATCTGGCGGGCCAATACCCGTCGGGGGGATGCGACGAATGCTTCGGCGGTACCAAGCCTCTTCGACACATGGGTAAGTGGAGGAACACTGGGTTGGAATTTAGTCAGTATGCGTCTAACAGTACCCTTCGCCCTTCCCCGAGGGCGGTGGGTCTCCATTAGGATTTTCCAACCCGACAACAAAAAAAAAGGATTTTTAGTCAGTAAGACGAGTCAGACACGCCCTCTAGCCTTTCTCTAGGCGAGAGAAGTCGTTTGATGGTTTTCCCCCCACAAAAAGGTAGTCTATTCTACTGAATTCTGCTAAAAATCGGACGTTGATTGCAACCATTTTTGATATTCACTCATTACAATGAAATCGCACATCGTGGCATTTCATATGTTTACTTAAAGTCCGTTTATGCATATACGCATTCTTGCAGACAGAACAGATGAAATTTCTTTCCCCTGTGTGCCCTAGCATGTGCTGTTTCAGTCTCGACTCTATACTAAAACACTTGGAACACACTTCACATTTAAACTTTTCAGTATGATTTCTCGTACGATGCTCGGTCAACGCCCTTCGCGTTGTGAAATCACTTTTGCATAAATGACACGAAAAGGTTTTAGTTATTCCGTGCACTTTTTTCAAATGTGTCATCAAACTGTAATATTCTTTGAAAGTTTGAGTGCATTTTGGACAAGTTTTCGACTTTTTCCGATCCTTTCCTACGTGTATAACCTCAATGTGATATTTCAACTGACTTTTCTTGAAGAAACTTTTGTCACATTGTTTGCAATTTAATAGTTTTAGTAGATGCGTTTCTTTGTGTTTGGTCAAAAGGTGTTGGTTTAAAAACCCAGCACCACAATTCTCGCAAACGACTTTTCCAACATGGCTGTTCATATGAGAATTTAACAAATTGAAATTATGAAACTCTTCCCCGCATATATGGCAGACGAATACATGATTAACGACCTCCATTTTGTATTCTGTCATTCCATTATTTGCCAAACAAAACTGTATTTTATGGCAATTAGCAAGATGTTCTCTTATTACGTTAAGATTTTGAAAATTTTGATCGCACAGCCGACATTTTAACTTTGTAATGTCAACTTGTATACTCCGTTTTCCTTTCGCGACGTATTTTTGGAAAATTTCATCTTTATTGTCTATTTTATGTGTCGAAGTGTGCTCGAAAAGTGTTGTAATGTCGGATTGGTATTCGTTGCAATAAAAACATTTGAAACTCGAACCCATGAATATAAATGGTCTGACCGTTGTGTGTTGAATGAAAATTGCCGCGTTTTTTCGTTCTGACACTGTGAGTTGCCATATACTCGTTTCCGTTACGGTGTTGCCTGTGAAACAAAAAAGATGTTTCAAAATTTAATATGTAATTTCGTCTAAGATTATAATCAACTAACAAATACGTATTATGAAACTTACCTCTTTATTGAATGAAAAACAAGATTAAAAAACATAGATATCAATTATTATAAGAAAAAATACATAACAAAGCTCTATCTCTCTCTCTATTCTCTCAAGAAAGTACAAAATTTGAGTTGTAAAGAACAAAATTAAAACAAAAGTTTAAGAACAAATTTTATTATAAATTAAACTTAAATACTACTGGAGATCTCTTTAATCAGTCGTATAGTTACTTTTTATTATAATACTGCTATAATTGAATATGAAGTTAAATAATTTTCGTTGATTTTATTAGCATACAAATGTGTAAATGGATATTTTTAATTGGCGCCCAACTGGGACTACGAGTCCCACGCTGGGCACCATCACAATTGACTGTATTATCAAATATCTTAGCTTTAAGTTACTGGCAATATTCTTACATTATACTCAGAATTCATAACGTGGTTGCCCAAAGGTTAAACACTTGCTTCTCGTGCCTGGTAATAGGTATTTTTAATTGGCGCCCAAATGGGTCTACCAGTTGGGCGTTACGTTACGACCCACGTTGGGCGCCATCACAAATGACATGATATTATTTTTGTAATTTAAGCCTTAAACTTCGTCGAGCGAGCTTTTGGAATGGGCAAATAGCTTCACTATAGGACAGACCGACAGACTGACACACGAAAAGTTGAACCTTTAGGTATTTATTTATTTAACGTTCAAAATTGCCTGTTGTGGCCTATTTGAAATCAATGATTTGACTTTGCTTTAGCCTCTCTTATTTTATACCTTAGATCCTTAAACATTGGACTTAAATGCGTTGTATATCCCTCTGCCAAGTAATTTATAAAGCAAATTAATGAACAGAATAATCAAAATAAGTCCTAGGATGCCATTCTTTAACATGTCTATTAAAATCATTTCTATTTGGGAATCCGTTGCCGCAGTCCGAACAATTGAATTTGACTAATGGCTCTCCCTGAATATGACACCTCATGTGCTGTTTCAAACTCTTCTGATGTCTATAAGCCTTTTGGCATAAAGAACATACGTAATTCCTTTCTCCAGTATGCGAAATCATATGTTTTTTCAAAGTCGTAACACAACTAAAGCTCTTTTTGCAAACCTCGCATTGAGTTTTTTCCGTGTGAAACTTATTTGTATGCATCGTCAACGCTCTACGGCTCGGAAATACTGATTGACAGACTTCACAGTTGAACGTAAACGTGATACCATGTACTTCTTTTAAATGTTTCAACTTCCGAAAGTGTTCGGCAAATCTCTCA